TAGGGGATCTATTGTAGTCCTTTCGATAAGTAAGAGTGTCGAACCCAATGAGGAGCAAAAGGAAATGATAAGCGGTTTTCAGCAAGGTATTCTCTGCAAGCACTGAAATAATAGGTAACAGATAGTTTTGTGATAGGATAATTTGTAATGAGTAACAAGTAACAAAAGTAAATAAAGTGCAGCAAGGTGGCCCAATCCTTTTTGTAGTAAAGGACAAGCCTGGACAAACTCTTATATGATGTAAAGCGCTCCCGAGGACACATGGGAATATCGTCAAGCTAGTTTTCGTCATGATCATATGATTCACGTTCTGTACTTTGATAATTTGGTATGTGGGTGGACCGGTGCTTGGGTACTGTCCTTACTTGGACAAGCATCCAACTTATGATTAACCTCTATTGCAAGCATCCGCAACTACAACAAAAGTATTAAGGTAAACCTAACCATAGCATGAAACATATGGATCCAAATCAGCCCCTTACAAAGCAACACATAAACTAGGGTTTAAGATTCTATCACTCTAGCAACCCACCATCTACTTATTACTTCCCAATGCCTTCCTCTAGGCCCAAATAATGGTGAAGTGTCATGTAGTCGATGTTCACATAACACCACTAGAGGAGAGACAACATACATCTCATCAAAATATCGAACGAATACCAAATTCACATGACTACTAATAGAAAGACTTCTCCCATGTCCTCAGGAACAAACGTAATTACTCACAAAGCATATTCATGTTCATAATCAGAGGGGTATTAATATGTATATAGGATCCGGACATATGATCTTCCACCAAATAAACCAACTAGCATCAACTACAAGGAGTAATTAACACTACTAGCAACCCACAGGTACCAATCCCAGACTTGGAGACAAGAATTGGATACAAGAGATGAACTAGGGTTTTGAGAGGAGATGGTGCTGGTGAAGATGGTGATGGAGATTTCCCTCTCCCGATGAGAGGAGCGTTGGTGATGACGATGGCGATGATTTCCCCCTCCCGGAGGGAAGTTTCCCTGGGAGAACAGCTCCGCCAGAGCCCTAGATTGGTTCCGCCAAGGTTCCGCCTTGTGGCGGCGGAGTCTCGTCTGGAAAGATGGCTTATGATTTTTTTCTCATCGAAAGACTCCATATGGAAGAAGATGGCCATCGGAGGGCCACCAGGAGGCCCACGAGGTAGGGGGCGCGCCCAGGGGGGTAGGGCGCGCCCCCACCCTCGTGGGCAGGGTGTGGCCCCCCTGGTGAACTTCTTGCGCTCAATATTTTTTATATATTCTGAAAACATCTTCCGTGAAGTTTCAGGACTTTTGGAGCTGTGCAGAATAGGTCTCTAATATTTGCTCCTTTTCCAGCCCAGAATCCCAGCTGCCGGCATTCTCCCTCTTTATGCAAACCTTGTAAAATAAGAGAGAATAGGCATAAATATTGTGACAGAATGTGTAATAACAGCCCATAATGCAATAAATATCAATATAAAAGCATGATGCAAAATGGACGTATCAGCGAAGCAGCGATCTTCCGGACCAGAAAGGTTCTGTTTTTATGATGCGTAAGCTACCACAAAATGAATGATGGAAAAGGCATTAGGATTAGAAAGACTAAATAGGTATGGAGGGCCGACTCCAAGACTATGACTACAATAAAAGCCATGAGCGATAGCGAAGCCTTCAACCTTTTTTCGAAAGCCCCACAACTAGCTATCTTATAGCAGATAAGGCGAGCCTACTTAACTAATCTCATGTAAACACCTATTCGCTAAAATCCAAATAGAAAAAGACAACTACTTATTAAACATGTAGTTGAGTGCTCCGCCGTTGTTCAAATCTTGACCGAGTCCGAGCTTCCCAAGCTCTATGCTGTTTGGGAACTCAGCAAGGGTCTTACCACCTTCTTGATTGACTATATTTGAGTCTTTGGGGTACTTTAGGATTATATTCCGTGCCTAAGATTTGTGCTTGTGGGCTAGGGTGAATATTGCGGACCAGCGGATCTGGTAGTTGACAATCGTATGGACTTGGTAAAGGTTGTCGCAGCACCTGTAGTAGGACAAAGGACTTATCGCGATGCTCATGGACCAATTTACCATGTCTCTGTCACTGACATTGGTCAAAGAGGCCACGTGGACTGGCCTGGGTCTTCTTCGGCTAATGAGACCTCGATCCTGAAGCCTTCAGAGTATCTTTTTGATAGGCGCCTCTATTTGTATGGGGAATTCGCTACTGAAAGGTCCCACCCAGTGTCCCCTTCCTTCCCCCGCCGCCTTCCGACCAAAGGGAGTATACAATTTCTTCTTCAGGACACTAATGCCCGATCGTGAGACTGCCTATTGAACGCCTGATGGCACCTTGCTCTGACCTGAGCTATGCAACAACGGGATCCCCATCAATCTTTGCCGAATGTGCTTGATGCCCCCCCATAATACGCTAACTTGGGGGCTTTTTAGTCCATATTTTCCAAGAGTCTCTGCTAGTTGAACCGCGTCCAGTAGATGACCTCTTCCGCTCATCCCCTTCGTCAGCTCTTTGATAGGGATACTACAACCATGGGTTAGTACACAAAGCGTAATTGACAATGCTTACCATACCATGGGATCACTTGATCCCTCTCGGTACATCTTCTACGCTTTGTGGGTTGATCAACTTGATTCACTCTTTGACTTAGTCTTGATCAACCTCTCACAAGACCAATCTTTAGGTAATTCCTTGAATAGCACCTTGGTCGACACAAACTCTCCTTGAAACCAACACATGTACTCCAAGAAAAGCCTATGGACAAAACCTTCAAATATAACTCAAGGCAACCATTAGTCCATAGAGATTGTCATCAATTACCAAAACCAAACCGGGGAATTCCTGAATGACCGTACCGGGGAATTCTACCGTACTCAGTGCAGCTATGGTTGTTGATCCTGCGGATCCTAACCAAAGGTTTAGACCGGATTGTAGGAAGTGGGTGATACGTTTTTGTATTTCTATGAGAAGGAATACGGCACCCATGATTCCCAGTAGTAAGTCGTCGGCATATTGCGCGTAACAAATCCTTATTAATAAGGAATGGCTTTTAAAGGGGGGCCAGCTTACAGGCCAGGCCTCTCTCTGACCTGATAACTAGTATCGCCTCCCCGCCCAACTCTATCAGCAGGCCCCTTCTTTTGCAATACTTAAGAAGGTCTCTCATGGCCAAATTCTTATTAAAGCCTTCTCTACCATTGAATTTGGCCTTCAGGGTCAATCCAGCGGCTTCTATGAGGAAGGCGGCGCAAAGAAGGCTCAAGGGCTTGTTAAGGAAGGCGGCTAGGGACGCTGAAGGGGGAAACGAAAGGCGTTTTCTGGTCTCCCCTTCGCCTGGGGGTGCTTGTGGGAGGGGGGGAGGGGTGCCACGACGAAACAAGGGAATGAAAGGTCGCTTTGCGTTGGATGCTCTTTACCCTCCCCACTATGAGGTCTCTATTGTCTTGGGGAGCGTTGAAGCTTGCTTCTTTTCCATACTTTTCTTGGTCACCAATACGATGACCTATTCTTAATAGAACCGATCTTATTTTCACTACAAGAGGAATTTCGTGCTTCTGCCGGATCCTCCCTATCTCGATCGAGCTTGTGTAGGTAGATATTGCCTGGTAGGGCCGATATTAGTACACTGTTTGGGATGGAGTCAGGGCCCTTCTCACCCCCTACGAGTCATCTGGCGGAAAACTTTTTCTGGGTGGGGTAAAAGAACTTGGAATCGTCGATCTCTTCCTTCAATATTGAGATGAATCGATGTCGGTCGATGGTGTGAAAACACTTCCTGATGTCGAATTCCAAAAACCAGCAAGAGGTTCCCCACTCTTCTCTGATCCGTCTGAGGGCCGAGTGGCAGCCTCCACCTGAGCGGAAGTGCGATGTGTCTGGAAACTCGGGATCGTAAATGGATGTTGGTACCATTTTGATCACCTTTTTCATGATCTTTTCTATGGGTAAAACTACTGTGAGCGGTCTAAACTTTGACCCTTCTTTCTTTCTTCATTTAAAAAAGAGGGAGCAAAGCCTGTTTTTCGCTCCCTCAATTGATAGACCAGGGCCCCTCATGTCGGCCCGAACGAAAGGCTCTTTAAGGAAGTAGTCCCATCACTCTCGGGCCCGACACCAACCAAGAGGAGGCGGGGCTCTCTCCAGTCATTTCAAAGAGCCGAGATCTCATAAAGGAAAAATTAGCTATCTCAGCAGGTTTGGACCTAGGTGAATTAGTTCAGTGAAGAAAGGGAGCCTAAACTTAAGGCTTTTTCCAAGCCTTGCCGATAGGCGCCTCCTGGCTTGCTCAGTTCGCTCGCGGAGTTCTTAGATCAGTAGATCTGGATAGAGTCTCGCTCATAAAGGAAGAATAGCGCGCTAGCACGGCTCGCTTCGCTTTTCGGCGCGGAGCTTGCTGCTGTCTTTTTAGCTTCGAAAGTACAGGGCGTGCGTTAGCACTACGGCTTTTTAGCCTTCCTTTGCTGGTTCCGAACTATCACTGATCCCATAGATCAACCTTCAAACCTTTTTCTTTGAATCTCAGGAAGGCTTTCTCGGAGAGAAAGCTGGTTGGGGAACTGCTAAACGATCTAAAAGAAAAAAAGAGACTAACTCCGACCTTTCAAATCCTCACAAAATATGAACGAAAGTAGTTACAAGTGTATAAAACGAATCTGTCCGTGAAACAACAATCCAAGCGCGCGTATCCAAACGACCATTAACATTTTCAAACATTTTGATGATGAATCCGCGTTTGGAGCCGATCCCCTCTCGTCTTGGACAGGGACGGGGTTTGCAATGCACCCTGTCTCCTCCAACTCAGAGTGTCTTTCCCTGTATCGGTCTAACCAAGCCGACCAATATAGATGTGCTCTTAGTTATTGCACATCTAAGTGAGTGAATCAAACATAAAGAAAAAAAGAAAAAAGAGAAAAAAATATTCACACGAATCTTAATATAAGATCAATGACATATGACTTAGATGTGCAATATTTATGACACCTGTAGATGTGCTTTAGCAAAACTGACCAATATACTAAGTTGACTCACCTCCAACCCCAGCCAAATTCACCCGATCCGTCCCAGCTCCCCAAACCCGTCGCCGCCGGAGCCGTTTCGCCCGCGTCCGCCGGCCGGAGCAACTCCTCGTCGTCCCCCTCCTCCCATCAGTCGTTCCGGACGCATTTGGCTTCCTTCGTTGTTAAGGATAAGGAAGCCCTAGCTTGCTTGAATTCATCCCTTCCGTTTCCTTTTCTTTTTGCTGCTGATAACGAACAATCTCGAATCCCTCACTTGGGCGCGATGCAGGGTGGTCCGATCTTGCCGCGTCGGCCAAGAAGCTCCGTTCTAGGTTTGGACGTCCTCGCAAAGAGGAAACGAGAATCACAAGGCAGCGACGCATTCAGGCCTCGTCCCCACAAGGAACAAGTGGCGGCCGAGCATAGATCAGGAGAAATCGCGAGAACCGATTGCCGCCGCCGATGGGAATGGGAAGCTACACCTCGTCGGGAGTACCGTGATGATCCACCTGCATCCCAACGGCAACATCCGGCACCATCCCCGTGGGACAATGTGTATTCTTTGCCTTCTGCGCCTGTACGCCCTTCTGGCTCCTCAAAAGTGCCTTCTTCTTCGCGCAATGACACCGAAGCTGGTACAAGGCCCCCAACAGCCGATGGAAAATTTAAGGTCACCGAGGAGATGATGCAGGAGATGGATTACAATGCTGACCGCACATGGTATGGTTGTGAAGAACATAGCAGTATATTCAATGTCGGTGATTATCTTGGAGATGATGCTTCCTTTCAGAATAAGAAGGCAAAATTGCTCAAGAAGATGACTCGCCAAGATGGAAGCCTGATGACTCTTGCTCAGAGCAAAAGGTTATCACAGGTAACCGCTGAGAATGCTCGGTGGGAGGACAGGCAGTTGTTCAGATCAGGAGCTGTTAGAAGAACAGAGGTGCAGATGGAGTTCGACGATGAGGAGGAGCGTAAGGTGATACTACTTGTTCATGACACGAAACCCCCATTCCTTGATGGACGAGTAGTGTTCACAACACAAGCAGAGCCTGTGATGCCACTCAAGGACCCGACATCTGATATGGCTATCATTGCGCGCAAAGGTTCTCTTTTGGTTAGGGAAATTCGTGAAAAGCAGAGTATGAACAAGTCAAGGCAACGCTTCTGGGAGCTTGCTGGATCTAAGCTAGGAAATATTTTGGGTGTTGAGAGAACAGCCCAGCAGGCTGATGCTGACAGTGCGCTTGTTGGTGACCAAGGTGATGTTGACTTCAAAGAGAAGCTGAAATTTTCACAACACTTGAAGGAAAAGGCAGAGGCAGTCAGTGATTTTGCAAAATCGAAATCTCTTTCTCAACAGAGGCAATACCTTCCCATATACACTGTCAGGGATGGCCTGCTCGGAGTTGTGCGGGAAAATCAAGTGGTTGTGGTCGTTGGTGAAACTGGTTCTGGGAAGACTACCCAGCTGACTCAGTATCTGCATGAGGATGGATATACCAGAACTGGCCTTGTTGGCTGCACTCAGCCAAGACGTGTGGCTGCCATGAGTGTTGCTCGGCGTGTCAGTGATGAAATGGAAACCGTGCTTGGAGAAGAAGTTGGATATGCTATTCGATTCGAGGATGTCACGTGTCGTAACACAAAAATAAAGTACATGACAGATGGAGTGCTCCGTGAAACCTTGAAGGATGCTGACCTGGACAAATATCAGGTTATCATCATGGATGAAGCACACGAGAGATCAGTGGACACCGATGTATTGTTTGGTATATTGAAGAAGGTTGCTGCACGGCGACGGGATTTTAAGCTAATTGTCACATCTGCAACACTAAATGCAGACAAATTCTCAAAATTCTTTGGTGGTGCACCTGTATTTCACATACCTGGAAGGACATTTCCAGTTAATATCTTGTACAGCAAAACACCATGTGAAGATTATGTGGAAGCGGCAGTGAAGCAGGCCATCACAATCCACATAACGAGTGGCCCTGGCGACATTCTCATATTCATGACTGGGCAGGAAGAAATCGAGACTGCTTGCTATGCGTTTGCTGAGCGCATGAAACAGCTAATATCATCATCCACCAAGGTTGTAGGCAAGCTCTCAATCTTGCCCGTCTATTCGCAGTTGCCTGCTGACTTGCAGGCCAAGATCTTTCAGAAGGCAGGAGAGGGCACTCGCAAATGCATTGTTGCTACCAACATCGCTGAGACATCCCTGACAGTAGATGGTATCTTGTATGTCATCGATACTGGGTATGGAAAGATGAAGGTATACAATCCACGGATGGGCATGGACGCTCTTCAGGTTTTTCCATGTAGTCGAGCAGCCGCAGACCAGCGCGCAGGGCGTGCAGGAAGAACTGGCCCCGGCACATGCTACAGGCTGTTCACGGAATCCGCTTACCAGGATGAGATGCTCCCTAACCCCGTGCCAGAGATCCAAAGGACCAACCTTGCGAACGTGGTTCTCTTACTGAAATCCCTCGAAGTCGAAAATTTGCTTCATTTTGACTTCATGGACCCACCTCCCCAGGAGAATATCCTCAACTCCATGTACCAGCTCTGGCTGTTGGGTGCCTTGAACAATGCCGGTGGCCTTACAAATCTAGGCTGGAAGATGGTGGAGTTCCCATTGGACCCAACCCTGGCAAAGATGCTTCTCATGGGTAAGGAGCTGGGGTGCGTTGATGAAGTACTGACGATTGTATCCATGCTCTCAGTGCCATCAGTATTCTTCCGCCCAAAAGATCGAGAAGAGGAGAGTGACACTGCAAGGGAGAAGTTTTTTGTACCGGAGTCTGACCATCTAACACTCCTCAATGTATACCTGCTCTGGAAGTCGAACGAATATAGCGTAGACTGGTGCAATGCTCACTTCCTCCATTTCAAGGGTCTACAAAAGGCTCGGGAAGTGAGATCTCAATTGGTGGACATACTGAACACCCTGAAGATCCCGCAGACATCATGCCATAGGGAATGGGACGTGGTGAGGAAGGCCATCTGCTCAGCGTACTTCCAGAACTCTGCAAGGTTGAAGGGTGTTGGAGAGTACGTCAACTGCCGTAATGGGGTGCCGTGCCACCTGCATCCCAGCAGTGCCCTCTACGGTCTCGGCTAAACCCCTGACTACATCGTCTACCACGAGCTTGTCCTGACAACCAAGGACTATATGCAGTGTGTCAGTGCAGTTGACCCGCAGTGGCTGGTAGAGCTGGGGCCCATGTTCTTCTCTGTGAAGGAGGGTGACACTTCCTTCCTTGACCGCAGGAGGTGGCATAATGAGGAGAAGATGGCCATGGAAGAGGAGATGGAGAAGCTGAGGCAGGAGCAAGCTGAGGCGGCATGCAGAGTGAAGGGGAGGGAGAAGAGGGGCAAGCCGCAGCAGCAGGTTGCTATGCCAGGCCTGAAGAAAGGTTTGGCGTATCTTAGGCCCAGAAGGAGGATGGGTTTGTAGGTAGGAAGGTTGAGTGCGTATGTTTGTATGTGCTGATATAATCACACATGAATGAATGCATTATGTGGGACACACACCTGTCAGGAAGCATAGCATTACTTTCGTGTTTGTTTATATGTTAATTTTTAGCGGATTTGCTACTTCGCAGTCGACTGCTAATTTCTTAGTAGTGCAACATTGTTGGTAGAAACCTAATACTGCTCCAATTTAGTTACATTGTGAACCACTTTGTTGATAACATTATACTCCACATATCTTTCCCATACCTGTGGCTTCATAAGTTTATTGTATAGCATCCACTGCTTTGTATTTCCTAGGTCTTCTAATGCTAATTAATTTTGTTGCACAAAAGTTGTTTGTGCAGTATCAAGAGAGCCTGCTGTTGCTTTCCTGGTTTATTCAGCTCACCGCTTTTATGGTGTTTCCACATTACAACAAGTTTAAGTGAGTATACTTATTAAGATTCAGTATCAGTGGTCCAAATCATGTGGATGCAGAAACATCAGTTAATCAGCACTCAGATGTTGTTGACCAGATTCAGGTCGAATTTCCTCTGAAACCAATTCACAAGGAAAGAGTTATCTTTGAGATCAGATTCACAGAACTATAGGCACGCTTTGTTACATATATAAACATTTATCAGATTATGTGCTGCAACTTCATTGTAGATTCAAATTTCCAGTTGAATCCTGATTTTTTTTCCAATTCAATTTTCACGCCATCCCTTAGCTAGGTTTACACAAGTTTATCTTATGCATTAGATTCCTGTTTCCATATAGAACATGGAACATAAAAGTTGCTTAAGTCTCAACTGGAAGTTTAATAAGTACAATACATGTAAGCAGGCAATCTGATGATGACTATAATTAGAGCTGTATATTTCCTTTGTTTCACATTAAATAGTAGGCTGAATTGTACAATCTACTGCAACAAATTTCGGTCTTTATATCTTGTATTGCCAATTTCAACAAAAACAGACTCTAATTTCAGCAAGCACAAGATACTATATGATGTCAATGTGCATGTACTCTCTGCTTAATCTGATAAAAGATGCGCGCAGGCTGCTGTCTGTCGAGTTGAGGTGCTCACCTTGAATCCTGAATATTTCCTAGTTTATTCATATGCTGATGGAATGCTAGTGGCAAAATTCGGACGGCTTGTGTTTAATTAGTGCTTCTGTGTGAAATTTTTGCTTTGTTCCATTGTAGTAATGACAAGTTGGCAATGCCAATATAATACTCCATTATGGATGAACTACGCTTGATGCTAGTAGCTTTACCATATCCACTTTTTATTTTATTTCATTTTTTGCAACAATGGGCAGGAGCGCGCTGTCATGCATTATAAGTTGAGGGGAAGCTATGTTCTACTGTCGTCACTTTGTTTTCTGAGTGTCAACTGTGCGAGTTTTTGGAATCAGATGAAACCTTAAGAGCATGATGGCCTGTACTAAAGTGTACATGCAAGTGAAGTGACCCCTGTTGTCTGCCTTGCTTCTTAATTATGTTTTGACCAGCAATAACTTTTAGAGAAGATCAAAGTAACCCGTATGCCTTTGGCCGCAGGCAGCAGCACCATCATGGACAGAAGATGCTCCTCTATGTTGCCTTAGTTCATATGCTAATGCATGGACAGAAGATGCTCCCTGTGCCGCGCATAGCTTTGTTAGGTGCATTGGTCGTATTTACAGCAAGTACAGTAGAAAACAATAATCTAGTTCTTGCGTTTCCTCTGGCTCAAGTGATTACGACCCTTTGTGATGTATTGTGTATTCTTGTGTGCAACATTCAGTTTCATTTGGTTGCCTGATCAATCATTTGTCGTTCGACGGGTGACCCAATCCAAAACGCTTGCTGATGGCTGATGTTACCTTATGCCTGTCTTGGGTTTATCAGTTCATGCTAGGCCAATCTTGGTTTCGTATTTTTGTTATTTCTCGTGGATGGCTATTCATGCAGATATACGTTTACTTTGGTAGAATATGGAGTTCCAAAGCAGTCATATTTCATTCTTTGTATGTATCTCTCAGCTGGCCGTGTCCGGATAGAGAGATGGAAGGCCAGCAGCATGATCTAGGACAACTCCGACGAGGATCGTTGAAACGGACATCTGACGTCGAAACGGAGATCACCAAATGTCCGTGGATAGGAATAGGGATGACCCATCCAACCATAGTAACCAGAAAATCATTCTTTTTTTTCCTATATACCCAGGCTACTCAAAAGTCAAGACAATCAAAGAAAATAGTACTCCCTCTGTAAAGTAAAGAAATGTAAGACTTAATATAAACGCTCTTATATTTCTTTACAGAGGAAGTACAATTCTTAATAAGCAATTAAAAGATAAATATTTCAATGCGACAATACTTCAAATAAAAATATTACAATTCAAACATGAAGTTTTGAAATAAAATAGTGTAAGTTAGTCGGATTTGATGATGCATTTGGATAAAAACGTGAGATGTCATCAAATTCTGCTCGCATTTTGAAAATCAAAACCATGGCGAACTCCATCGCCCTCATCCTCCACAATCATGTTATACATGATCACACAATTTGTCATCACCTCTGACAATGTCTCTAAATCCCATAGTTTAGCGGGTCTGTGAAAACCGCAATACGAAATTGGAGCACTTGAAATGCTCCCTCCACAACCTTTCTAGCAAATTATTGTCTTTGCGAAAAGTGACATCTTCTGTTAGAGCAACTCTAGCAGACCCCGCAAAACGCCTCGGCCCGGAAAATAACCGCCAAATTGCGGGTCGGGGCCAGAAAATCTGCACGAGCAGATCCCGCATCCCGCCACGGCCCGCAAATTTTTTTGCGGGGCGCGGCAAATCTCCCCCCCCCCAACCTCTATCTTCACGGGCTGGGAGGCCGACCCGAGCTCAACCCTATCCCGCGCGAGATTTGGCGGGAGGGACATTTCCGTGCGGCCCTTCCCGCTCCCCGCACCCTCCGCCACCATTGCCCCCACTCCGCAAGCTCCGGCTGCTCCTCCCCGGCCGTCCCTCGCCGCCATGGACGACCCCATGCTGTCCCCCGTCACCGTCGAGGTCGCGCATGCCCCTTCCCCTCGGGCGGATCTTGTCACCGGCCATGTTGGCCCCGCCGCCGTCGCCCAAGCCCACGCCGCGCCTGCCCGCAAGCGGCAGGGCAACGTGGTCGTGCAGGGCGGGAATCGGGCCGCCACCGCCACGATGGCCCACGCTCCGGGCGCCAACGTGGCAACATGATCCCGGCCGACGGCGGAGAAGGTCGGCAAGGTCGCGGGCGTAAAGCGGAGGAAGGTTCCGGCTTCAAAGAAGACACCTTCTTCAACCTCTCGCTCCATCCGGCCGCAAGGAGGTGCTCCGCGATGCCGTTCAACGGTGCCGCTCCCCCCCACGAGTGAGGTGTTCGACGAAATGGCCGGAAGGTATGCATCTTCGGTCTTGGCGATTCCCTTTCATTTTTTGCCATTATTCTCGATAGCGCGTGACTTGTTATCGTTCGCTATAGCGGTGGTTCGAACAATGCAACAACCGAGTTCGTGAACTTGTTGGACACGAACGCGGTTGACATTGATCAAGCCCCTTTCGAACCATTCAACTATAACGAAACGGAGGGCAGCGTGGATGATCATGGTTGTGCGGACGAATTGGAGGAGATCGAAGCGGGAGCGTTTGAGCAATCACAAGCAAAATATGGAAAAGGTGAAAGTGCGTTATATCGACTAGAGGGGGCTGAATAGGCGATTTTTATAAATTCTTCACTAAGGAATTTGCGAGTGAGCAAATTCCTGAGTGAAGAACTACTTGCAGCGGAATAAGTACTCAAAAGTAGACATAACAGAACATGAGCATGGTCTTCATGATGAAATGAAGAGTACAGAAAGCGTAAACACAGGATAAACAGAATGAAGACAAACAGACTGAAGAAATGAAGTTGAGGAAATAGAAAAAGTCTTTAGTCAAAGTCTTCAAATAGATATGAACAAGCACACAACACAGAAATGAGGAAATGGAAGGGTTGAAGAAATGGAACCAGTTACCTTGGTGAAGACAATGATTTGGTAGACCAGTTCCAACTGCTGTGACAATTGTATGTCTGGTTAGGGCGGCTAGGTATTTAAACCTGAGGACACACAGTCCCGGACACCCAGTCCTGAACACGCAGCTCAGGACACTCAGTCCTCACCGTATTCCCCTTGAGCTAAGGTCACACAGATCTTGCCCAATCACTCGTGGTAAGTCTTCAGGTGACTTCCAAACCTTCACAGACTCGGTCACTCGGCGATCCATAATTTCCTCTTGGATTCTCTAGACCATGACGCCTAACCGTCTGGAAGATGCATAGTCTTCAAAGGTAAACAAGCGTCGGATCCACGCGGGATCAATCTCTTCAGTGATGCTCAATCACTTTGGGTTTGTAAGTGTTTGGGTTTGGGTTTTGGTTTTCCTCACTAGATGATTTTCGCTCAAAGTCCTTAGAGGATGGGATGCTCTCAAATGACAAGTGTCAGTTTCTCTCAGAGCAGCCAACCAGCTAGTGGTTGTAGGGGGCGGCTATTTATAGCCTAGGGAGCAGCCCGACATGATAAGACATAAATACCCTTCAATGATATGACCGTTAGGTGGGTAGATATTTTGGGACAGCTGACGCATAGCACAACAATGGTCAGAA